CGACTTGTAGGCTTGTTGCAACAAAATTGTAGCGACTTGTAGCAACAAAATTGTAGCCAATGTTAGAATGATAAAACGATTCTTTCTTCGACACTTTTTCTTGGATAAAAATCCGTCACGAAATACTCTCCAATTCCAAGGAGCTTCTTAGCCTTCCTGTCCTGTATTCGGCTCAATTTTATATTTTATATCCTTGACCGTTCTCTATATGGTTTTTTTGAACTTTGAGCTTGACTACAGTACTAGTATGTCACAAACACTTTAAATCGACCCACACGGTCCACAGATATGCGTCACTATCACCCCGTCTGGAGTCCAGAGGAAGGGTTTAAAACGCCAATACACCGTGATTCCGTCACATCACAGCCGGGCCGCTGCCGAAAGGAACTCGGAACCTTTATATTACAAATCCCCCGGGAAACCTACAGACCTTTCCAGCATTTCCTCAACGGACCTTTACCTTTATCATAAGGTCGACGTGGCCTCCATAGCATGTCAAAAATTGGTGTTTTTTTTTGGTCTTCGTGGTCTCTGGGAGCTTTTATGTGCTATTTTCTGATTGCATATAGGCAACCGGCCTGGTTGAATTACCCCCGTTTTCTTAGAACTGGGCTCATCAGAAAACAGCCGAAGACAACCAAACACCCAGTTCTATAGGCCTGCTACGGAGGCTAAGGTCGACACACGTTAGGAACAAGTTTACTTTGGCGTGTTTGTACTTTTGAACGTAGCGAGAGTGAGTGAGAAACTCAGAAAGAAGACGAACGCAGATGAAACAGGCCCGCCAACATTAGGACGATTAAGTCGTTCAAAGAAGTGTGAAATTGTGTGCAGAATATGCATGACTGTCAAACAGTGGAGGCTCCAAACTCTCTGGGTCTCCTGCGCTACAGTCAGATGTAGATGTGTCCTGAGGTGGGTGGCCCCGCTCGCTATTGTTTCAATCTCCCATACCGTGACCGGTAGAATGCATGTTGCCCCCAACACAATGACATCACTGTGTCAGTAAGGGTTCAGGACGCATGGTAGAGTGGGCATACATACGGTACATACAGGCACACCAGAGCAGCACACACACACACCGTGACACAGGCCAAGTCCAGACGGAGAACCATGGCAGCTAGATAACCCGAGGTACGTGCCCAGTCCCGATCCCTTGTTGTATTTTATCTCTGGAGGAAGGAAGCGATTGTTGAAGACCGATTTGTTCGCGTCAGTCGGGCGGGTGTACCCTACCCGAACCGCGGCTACGGGTCGATAGAAATCGCGGTTAAAGGGCCCTGCATACTTGCGCGTAGCAGAATAATACCATGTCAAAGGGTCGCACTTTTTGTGTATTTAATCCGGGTGTAGATAAGTTTGATTGCTCGCGGCTAAACAGGGATACGCACACAAAAACTCCGCGCTTTGCGAAACAACAACTCCGTGTATGAGAGGGCTCGCCGGTAATTTCTACCGGTGAGCAAGAAAGCTTAGAGGTACAAAAAGCCCCGAAAAGGCCACGGAAGCTACTTGAGGCGCGCTACGCCCGGTATTGGTCTGTTTCCACCACATGTAGGATAGAGACAATCCCTGAAAATCTCTTTAAAATTGAATAAAACGCCCTGCGGGTGCACGGTGTATACGGGTACGCGCTAGTTCACTGCTATATGCCTAGTGTGTGGAGGTTTTCTTTTTTGTTGGATCACTGTAAAATAGCTTCTGGAGAGGCCACCGTTCTAGGTTCGTGGATACTATGATCGTGTCGGGTCTGTGCTAGGAATTGTCTTGACGGTATGTTCACGCTTTCTTACCGTCGTAGATACTAGAAAAGCCGTCATTTTAATCATTTCTTGTCGTGCAAAACTTCTGTATTTAGGCGAGTGCTGCTATCTGGTTGAACCCGAGTTTTCCCAACAAGTCGTCCACACTCTGATATCTCAATCCACGCTCAATTGGTCTTAACCGTTTTAGTGGCCAGTTTAAGTGGATAACATGAGCTACTTATAGATAAAACTGCTAGCCTAGACTCCAACTCCCAAGCATTTGTTTGTGTGTGTGTGTAGTGTATGTGTATTGGCGGAGAGGGGGGGGGGCGACAATAGCTTCCACAAGCTATTACTGACATGTCTGTGTTGTCTAAATCCCTGGGTGTACAACTGTGGTTAAAGCGCGGAAACGTTCCCACCTTGCAGTGTTTCTTTAGTTTAAACTACATGTTGTTATTTCTGTCAGTACCACCGTGCCCGCTCCTGTAGTATCTCCCCTAAGGCGCTAACGCACTGTTGTGTGTTGATTTGCCCCACAGGCGCGGCGAGCGATAGTCTGTGTGTGTCAATGTCAGCCACTTCCGTCTTCTGTTGTTTATATAGAAAGAACGCCCTTTGTTTGCTGTATATGATACACATTACAACCATATCCTATCATGATTATTATGAAAGATAAGAAACATAACTCACGTGCTTATCTCTAACCAATCCAAGCTTTATATTCAACAGTTCTAAAGAACTACACACATATATATTTCTTTATGACTCACTACTACATGTAATAGTAATAACGGGGTTTTCTTTTTTTTTTTTAGGTAAAATGTGTTTATCTTTTGTCTAGAGTGTTAAGATTAATGTGTATTCCTTAAGAATGAATGTCTGGTTATGACATGGTGGGTACAAGTCATATTTTTCAGTCTATATAGGCATGATGCTCCCATGCAAGTTGAAGTTGAAGTTTATAAAGGCTCAGTAACCATAGTGTAAAATTAAGGTCATATTTTCGTCGTACCGTCGTCGCAAAGATTTCAAACTCTGAGGGCATTCTCGTGATATTCGTGCATATAATTCATTTTGTATGCAATTCATCTGTGTAGTTACGGAAAAAGGCGGTCTTAGGTCTTTGTCGGCAGTTGGTTCTGTTACAGTCCGCTTAAAACTCCTACACGACAACAACAAAAAATCGTGCGACGTTCCTACGACAAATGCGACCGCGCCGGAAAGGCACCTTGTATTCGCCTGTTCCTCCTCTATAGCCTCCGTAGCAGGCTTATAGAACTGGGGGTTTGGTGGTCTTCGGCTGTTTTCTGATTAGCCCAGTTGTAAAAAAAAACGGGGGTAATTCAACCAGGCCGGCTATATTGTCTATATGCAATCAGAAAATAGCCCATAAAAGCTTCCAAAGATCCCGAAGACCCCCAGTTTTAGCCATGCTATGGAGGCTACCACCTTTACATATTTGTCCGTCGGCACTAACAAAGATCCGGCCACCTGAAGCCCGCATAAAGAGAGCCGGTATCAGCCACCGCTCAGCGCATTCGTAACTCGTCACCCATTGTGAGCGACGCAGATAAATCGTCGTTGTTTACAATCAACACGTTGTGTATTGGACAAGCTGATCTGTTGATAAGGTGCGGTTTTCTCAATACACAGCCCTGGGCGTCTGGACGCACCGCGCGCGTGCGAACCACGCTAGCCTCCTTCGCAGACTTCTTACGGAGCGGTTAGCCTCCGGTAGCCTCTACCAGGCACCGCGGATCCCTGGAAAAAATAGTAGAAATTGGCCGAAAT